ATAAGAACATGGGGGAACAGGATCTCTAAGTGTACTTCTGCCTTGAAATTGTGTGATTCTGAACGTGTCTGAAAGAAAGCAGGGTGTGGATCAGAATTCCACGGTGTTCAGGAGTCCCTAGCCAGTTCTGCTGTCTTGGGCCTATTTGTCTGTGCCCTGTGTTTGTGTCTTTCGATAGAATTGACAAGAATTTAATTCTTACGAGAAAAAAAATGCATCAGTGCAGAAAATCACTATGCTATTAGGTCATCTTTGCTATCCTGTCATTTTATTTTTTCCTTTAGTGGGGGGGTGTGGGGGAAGAAACCTTTTTCTTCTCTTTCTTTGTCTCCTCCTCTGTCTTCAGCCAGGAGTACTGCTCATTGCAGAAAATCAAGAGCAAGGAATAAAAGGTTTTAATTTTAAACAGCTATAGTAATTAAACCAAAACCAACTGTGATCCACTGCTCTGAGAAACAAATCTGGGAAGTCAATACTGCCAGAAATCCAGAATAATTAGCCTTTTCCTAAATGTCAGATTACTTTTAGAACTGCACTAGTATTTCTTTCTTTTCTTTGGTGGTTGGCCAGTAAGGGGATCTGAACCCTTGACCCTGATGTTATCAACATCTCACTCTAACCACCTGATAACCGGCCAGCCCTCTAAACACTCTAACACTTAAAAAAGAAATTAAATAAACCCAAGGTGGAAAGCCCTACACAGTTGAGAAAGAAAAAGGAAGACAACCCCCCACCCCCCATTCCCCAGAAAAGTCCATGTGACTGTAGTGTTCATTAGATGGTAATGCAGCATTCACAGCATGTTTTTCCCATCTGCTCCTGACAGCCCCGACAGGAAGGCAGGAGTGTTTTCCTGCCACATTAGCGATATTGCATAAAGCACCTGCTCAGCATCACTGGGGATTTGCCCAGAGCTGGGACAGGAGCCCCACCGCCCCCGACCTGTAAATGTACCAACTACTTACTGAACCAGAGCAGTCACTTCAGAAACATTTAAGCCTTGCTAAGCACCTGCTCAGCATCACTGGGGATTTGCCCAGAGCTGGGACAGGAGCCCCACCGCCCCCAACCTGTAAATGTACCAACTACTTACTGAACCAGAGCAGTCACTTCAGAAACATTTAAGCCTTGCTGCCTCAGATACCTTTTTCTTCCAAACGTACCTTGTACCTTCCATCCTGCTTGACCCAAGCCCAGAATCACGTGCGGCTCACAGGCTGACACCAGTCCCACAGCATATGGCACTGCTGGGATCGTTCCTACCAGCAGCTACCACCCTCTCCCTCCCCCTCCCAGCAAGGTGGAAACACATGGGGACTTTAGATCTTGAGCGCTGTGTGAACATCTTAGCACAACATCTCTGCACAGCAGAAGTACATGATGAATTTCCTTTTCTCAGAAGACAGCAAGTTTTTGCTTCTCTCTATAAATGTACTTATTTAGGTACTAAAAAATGCACAGAAAGGAAACTTATATTTGGATCTAAACATATTACTTCTCTCTGAGTCTTCAAGATTTACAGCATATAAATTCTTTGGAACACGTGGAAAAAATATTTGATTATAACAAAGTCATAATTTGGGAACGTTATGTTATTCTGGAAGCTTCTTGGTGACAGCTACAGAAACCTTCATTCCAGCTTTTTCATATTAATTTATGATAAAAATAATGCATTGTTTTTGAAGAAATGTTTTAAGGAAATGTTATATTATTATTCCTTCTTGTGAAAATTTTTTTTAAAAAGCAAATATAGACTAACGAAATGTTGTTTCTGGTTCTTGTATATCTATTCTGATAATATGCAACAACTACTACCCGAGTGCTCTTTGCTAGGTAATTCTGTATCTCATTTCACCCACAAAACAGCCTGAGAAAAGAAAATCAGCCCCAACTTACAGATAGCTTAGGCCCAGTTAAGTAGCTTACCCAAGATTACCTTCCAGTACATGGCTGAGCTAGGATTTGAGGCTTGCACCTTTAAAAATACATAATTGCTAACATAATATCAATGATATTACTGACGGTGTGCAAGGGCAGTAAAAAAAACTCAAGAAGTTTCTGCAACACCTGTAATGCTGCTCTGCAGTAGCGCTGGGTAATCACTGGCTCTATGCTTGACTGCAGGTTTCTTACTCTTAAGGAGTTTACATGAAAAGAAAAGTATCAGATGATGGACATACAGTCCTCCCTCAGTACCCACAGGGGGATTGGTCCTAGCTCCCCCCTACTCCCACATCCCCCCACAAATATCAAAATCTGAGGATGCTTAAGTCACACTTCTATAAAAAGTAACAAAAAGTTACTATAAAAATTCTGAGCAAAAATAATTTAAAATGTTTCAATCCTGCCCTCTGTATTCTTAAAATGAAGGTCCTACTGTGTGTTCAGAGCTGCTGTCCTGCACATAGGCTTCTGTCACTGTCTAGGACGTGGGTCTCAAAGGATGTGGGGGAGGCTACATCAAAAATAAAAGAACAGACAGAAAAGCTATCGGTGGCCAGCAGAAAGGGCATCAATCTCACGTCCGTCCAGGAACCTAGTTCCTATCTGCACCTTCCCACTGGGTGTGCAACGAGGTCTCTAACGAGGCCGTGCGCGCCTGGTGCTGCCCTTAGCTCTTCCCTTGCCTAAGACTGTATCGAGTCCACATTCTGAGGAAGTCACTGTCACTGGACGACTGTCAAGCCCTGTGCTACAATTTAAAGGAGCTCTCTGCGTTGGGAGCTGAAGTTCCACTTTCTCTCTGAGATTATAGAACACGCCACCAAAGTATGTCCTGAAACAGGTTTCATGGATGTCTGAAAATGTGACTAATGAAATATTAGCAAAATGGCTTAAAGTTCGCACCCTGGTGAATTGATACATCCCTCCGAACGATAGTCTAGACGATATTTTTATCAATCCATAGTGACTGAAGTTCATTACTAAGCATGTGGAGATTTAGAACAGTCACTTAAACATGTCCTCAGAGGCCTCACAGAGATGAAATTAGACCCCTCCCTCTAACTGAATAAATTTCTTTTTCTATTACCTTTCATGTGAGAGTCAAAGGAATTTTTAATCATAAGGTGATTCATTTCAGTGGCTGAAAAAAATTCCTGTGTGAGTTTACATAAGGAAAAGAAGGGGTAAGAGATGGTAATAAACAGACCAGAGATAATTAGGTGTATGTAGTGGTTTGTAATAAAAGTCACATATAGCATGGCTAAATAATTCAAAAGGTACAATGAAAAATACACGGCTTTTGCTGTATCTACATAGAAATGTTCGTACAATTACAAGTACACACACACTGACACTTCATGCAACTGCAGACAACAGTTGGTACACACAGAGCTTGTGAGGAGATGCAGGCGTCCCTGGCGTGCACACTGACAGAACGGTCTGCAAAGCTCCTGCCTCCACTACACACCTCCTCCTACCACCTGCTCTCATCCTTTTATTGTTGCACAGTCTGCCCCTTTGTAATCAGTTCCCCGCTGATGTTCATGTAGGATATTTTCAATTGTTTGGGATATCAAACAATGTTGCAACGAATAACCTTATATTGCTTACACAAGCTTATCTGCAGAGTAAATTTCTAGAGGTGAAATTGCCAGGAAAAGGTTATAAACTCTTGAAATGCTAATCGGTAGTAGGTGACTGCCTTCCAAAGAAGCTGCACAAGGTGTCCTTCCACCTGCAGAGTTCTGGAAAGCTGTGTGCCCACCAGCTAGCCGGGTAGCACTGAACATTTTACCTTTGGCCAATCTGAAAAATGGTACCTTGAAGATCAGTGGTTGCCAGGGGTTTGGGTGAGGAAGGGATGAGTCAGCAAAGCACAGAGTTTTTAGCAGTGAAAATACTCTATGTGATGCTATAATGATGTCATTACACATTTACCCAAACCCATAAAATGCACAACACCAAGAGTGAGCCCTAATGTAAACTATAGACTTTGGGTGATAATGATGTGTCAATGTAGGTTCATCAGTTTTAACAAATGCACCTCTCTGTTTGGTTCTTGATAATGGGGTGGCTGTGCACGTGTGGGGGCAGGGGAGACATGGAAAAACTCTGTAATTGCCTCAATTTTGCTATGAACCTAAAACGTCTCTAAAAAAATAAAGTTTATTAAAAAGTACACTGTTTGAATAAACAATTTTAGTTATTAATGAGGCGAAGGCATGTGTGTGTGTGTATATTGTTGGTTATTTCTTTTTCTATAAGCTGCCTTTTCAGGTCCTTTGAACATTTTCTATTAGGTTGGTTTTTTCCTTAATGTTTAGTAAGAATTCTTTGTTTATTAAGAACATTAACTCTTTCTCATATATACAGGAAATATTTTCCCCATTTTTCACTTACAAATATTTTGTTACACACACATATATTAGACATGAAAAAAATTACAGACCTTTAAGTTATCATTTTCTTTCTTTAGTATGGCAACTTCTGAGTTTGTGGCATGCTTAGAGAGGCTTTCCCCATTGCAAAGTAATAAAACATTCTATTGCTTTTTATCTTATAATTTTATGGTTTCATTTTTATGTTAACCTTTCCGTTCATCTGGAATGTTTACAAAGGTTGGGGCTTGAGATTCAGCACTATGTTTTCCAAGTGCTTAGCCTGTCCTCTCCTTATTCTTTACTGAAAATCCATTTACCCAAGGGATTTTAAAATGTCACTTCATTCAAATATTGATTTACCATATGTCCTTAAGGAGGCTCTATATGTTCATACTGAATATATTTTTTAAAGTAATATGTTTCTATTATTTAGCAAGTAAACAATGAAAAATTATTTCCATGGGTAAGTAGTTAGAAAATGGTCAGTGGAATCTTCCAGTTAATCTTGTATTTCTAAGCAAAATCTAGAAACAATGTTCTTTTAGCACATGGCCACAGATGAGAGGCTCCCGGAGTTTTCCATGCTGCAGGTCTTTGCCTTCCAGCACTGGAAGTTAATTAAGACTATTTCTGAAATGCATCTTTTCCACACTGTAGCCACTTAAAATGACTTACCTCTACAGCATAAGTCTCCACATTGATTATAAAAACTTGACCTCCAGAAGCCGCCCACAATGTATCTTCCATCATTAGCAGACTTCTAACTGGTAGAATGCCTAATTTTATCACTTTTTGAGGTTCGGTATTCCAGGATCCATCTTAAAAGAAAATATTTCTTTTAATTTCATTCAAGTTCAGTTATCTGTGCACAGGGACAGGGAAACAGGATCACAGATCATTTTAAATAACCGATAATGAAAATACCATTTGTAATCGTAATTTTGATGCACGTGCTTGATTCTAGGTGTGTCCAGGTTCCAACAATTAACACTATTTCAATATGGCAGTCTAACATGTCCAGTCAACTCAGAGCAAGTGCAGTCAGGATATCACCCTTTGGGTCCCAGCTTGGACACTGGTTAAGTGTCCCACAGAAATTACTCACTTGCCCTAAATCTCAGTTTCCTTACCTGTAAAACACAAACAATATGGCCACTAGCCTCAAAGGTTGTTTTAAGAATAAAAATGAGGGCAGGCTGATTAGCTCAGTTGGTTAGAGCTTGGTGCTAAAACACCAAGGTCAAGGGTTCAGATCCCCATACTTATCAGCTACCAAAAAAAAAAAAAAAATACCCACACAATAACAATTAAAAATGAGATAATGCATGTAAAAGCTCAGCACAGAATCCAGCACACAGTAGTTCAATAAATACTATTATTTACAATAATGGTATATAAAATAAATGATTCAGTCATCATTAAAAGGAACTGCATCCAGAATTACTGGGCAAATATGTAAATTTCCCTATTAACCAGCTTCAATTTTAAATATCTCTTGATACACATGATATCATGAGGAGGGACCCACACCTTCACTATGAAAAACAAACAAACAAACATCAAAATTGAGGTAAAAGGAATTCCACTCTTGATGAACTTGCTCCCTTTCCTAAAGCATAGGGAACAATAAAATATTTTCATTTAAAAATATTTTCACAGGAGTTCCAGTCAAGATGGCGGAATAGATAGTCCCCAGTGTCACTCTCTCCCACAAATCAACCAATTTACAACCATAAAAATGTAACAACAGCCAAACTGAGGCTGCTGGAGCTCAGGAGAAGAGGAGGAGAGACATATGGAGTTCATGAAGGTGGGAGAAACCATGATAAGAGAAAGAAAAACCTCCTCTGAGTGTTTGGGCAGCAGTCACTTTAATACTAGAAATGCTGAGTGCATGGAGCAGGAGCCAGCTGAAGCCACAGCTGTGCCCTTCAGATGGAGTTACTTGGAGGCAGCAGGGGAGAAGAGGGCCTTGGTGGTCCCCAGGACAGCAAGACCACTAATAGGGTTCCCATGGACCCACACAGGAGCGAGGAGCCAGAACACCTGAAAAAGGGGAGCCATTCAGAGGCTGGCGAGTCATCACAAGGGACCTGCACAGGGCCCGTCCCATGGGAAGTGTTTGGAGCACGGGCGGTGGGGGAGACAGGCCCACCGGGAGAACACTGGGGCACAGCAAGGTTAGCTGATCCATCTCCCAATCAGCACAGGGCCACTAAGAGGAGACTGGTCGGGAATGCAGAATTGCATGGGGTGTAGTTTGATGAAAAAACTCAGGCCCAGATCAAAGTTTCTACGCAACCCAAGAGCACTGAGTCTCTAGAGAGCCGGAAGTACCTATAAGGTCAACCATTAAACCTTGAGCTGCACAAAAAGCCTTCCCTTGGGAAACAGCAGCAAAGCAACAATTTAGCTCAACCACAGAGCTTAAGTACTGGTTCCCACAGGAAGTTCCCCCGTGTTAGAAGTAAGCAAAGGACAACAAATTAGTTCTGGCACAGGCACACCACCAGCACCTTGGGGCCTGCCAGAGAACATGAGGCATGGGTCCAGGGGCAGGACCCCTGCCCAGAACCACTCACACCGCCAGCACCTCAGGGCCCACCCAAGAACCCGAGGCATGGAGCCAAGTATCAGACCCCCCTCCCACAACTAGGCACACCGCACCAGCTCCTCAGGGCCTACCCGGGGACCTTAGGTATGGAGCCAGGGACCAGACCCTCCTCCCACAACCAGGCACACCGCCAGTGCCTCGGGTCCCTGCCTGGGGGCCTGGGGCATGGAGTGGGGACCAGACCCCCCCAACCATAACCAGGCACACTGTGCCAGTGCCTCGGGGCATGCCTGGGGACACAGGCATGGAGTGGGGACAACACTCCCACAACAAGGCACACTGCCAGCACCAAGGAGCATGCCAAAAACATCTCCTCCATGTGGGTGGCCCACCACAGCCACCACAATAACCATGGCTGCTGCAAAAGCGGTTAGACGCCACAACCACCACACAGATGGTCTGCCAACCACTGGAGTGCATTGACACAAGGAGTCACCAGCAGAGATAAAGAAAAGAAGAGGATGTCTTTCTCCACAAAGCCCATTTCAGAGTGTCAGAAGAAGCACCTGCTCTATGATAATATTGGGGGACCTGATCACACCTCTCAGCATTGGACAGATCATCTAGGCAACAAATCAACAGAGTAACCATTATTCTTTCATAATGAGAGAAGAAATCTAGGATGATTAGAGGGGGAAGGGATTGGACAAAGGGCATAAAGAATAGTTACAATTTGTAACAATATATATGCTAGTAATATTGATATGATCAACATATCTCAATGTTGAACCCCCAAAATATGTATAATCATTGATTCAATAAATATAAAAAAATATTTTCACATACCTGCCAGCTGCCAAAAAGAAAAAAAAAGGAAATATTTTCAAAGATCTACTGATGAGTTTGATGAGTTCTACCATGCTTTACATAAAGTATGAGTAGTTTAGTTTATCAATAAAAAATTAGCAAGATTTGATACAGATTTTAAACAATACTGATGTAATTAATTGTAAATAATTAAAATAAATTCTTCAATTCTCAACGTAACCATTAATTAAGCCCTTGTGTTTACAAACATAACTAAAGTATTAATTCAGCAATGCCCTTGACTAGTATAATAAACATGCTTTGCTCAAAGAGGAGAACAAGGTCTGTTCTTATCTCTGTGTTCTGGATTTGGAGCACTGAACCTTTGAACACAATACCTATTTGTGAAGAACTGTCTGAAGCTGAGGTGTGCAGTCACTAAAAGGCAGCTGTACAAGTTTGAATAATGTGGTATACTTTTAGTCATAATTCAACTTTAATGGAAACACTGCTATGCTCCCATTAGGCTAAAAGATGTTACAGGACAATTATTAGCCTCAGAGGACACTGGCCTGCCTTTCATTTGTGATATCTTCACAGGGGATAATGTATCAGTATGCGGTTAATCACACACACACATGCGCCCAGACCCATGCACACATACACGTGCACACATGCAAACACAATAACACAGGTGCATACACACACACACGCATGTACATGTGCACACCCACTAATGCACAACTCAGTGATGTGCATGCATACACACACATGCACGTGCATGCATGCAAACATGCACATATATACAACACACATGGACTCATGCATACCCACATACCCACGAATGCACACATCTGTATATACACCTGCACACATACACACCCATGCACATACAAACATAATGTGCACATCCACCCACAGGTGTACAAACACACGCTCACATCCATGTGCACATACATATACATGCAGGGGTCTCCCCATCTGGTATTTCCAGTCCTATAAAGCATTGCAACCTCCACTTCTGAAAGGACTACCTGGGACTCAGAGTGGAAATACAATTTTCTCTGACATTCATGTGCTCCTACGGGCATGGCAGGGCATTAGAATGCAGGATTCTGAAGCCTAGGTAGGAACTCTATCCACCACTCACCAAGGTCAAACCCTTAGATGATAGATGCTTGGCACTGTCCTACTGATAAGCATGATTCGTTTAAAATAAGAACTCAAAGATCAAAGATGGGATGACCTACTTCAGACATTTGACTTCAGTTAAGAATTAACTTCCAACAACTGAACTTTGTTTTCCAAGCACCTAAGTTGTTCTTGCTACAGACACTATGCACTTCTCTCCCCTACACAATGCTCGAAGTGGGGGTGACGGTGTAGCGTGTGCATGAATTTGGGCCAACGAGCTGCCTCTCTTAGAAGACTTCGCCCAGGTTCTCACCCCAGACCAGAGCTCTCTGACAAGCTGACCACCTGGCAGCCAGACTCCATGCATATGCTAATGATATTTTGAACTAACACTTAAAAATCTGGAAATCTTCTACAGAATTCCAGATTTCCAAGTCCCTTAAAAAGTCAAAGGCCTGGACAGTGGGTGGCTGAGGAGCGGCTGCCTCCTCCCTCTGGAAGGGCCTGTAGCCTCCAGCGGCCAAGTCCTCCACCACCAAGAACAAAGAGACAAGCGTGTGCCCAGCTCAGACAGCTACACGTTCCACCACACAGGCCACCCTGACAACGTGCAGGGAGGAGGATGCTTAAAAACACATTCAGCAGACCTCTCAGGTCCACAAAGACAATGAAACTGCAATTATGGACCATGCAAATATGTTAAGATCAAACTGCACAACACAGCACCGGGGTCCAGCCAAAGTGGATAGGGGGAAAGACCTCACACCTTAAAGTGATTGGTCACTGGAATAATACACAAGGAACGAAGCTAACCATGCAGCCAATTAAGAGGTTCAAAAGATAATCACCTAAGGAAACCAAGAAAAGAAAGGGTGCTGTAAACATAAAAGCATAAAATAATAGAAATTAGAAAAATAGAAAAAACGTCAGATTATATGAAAATCCCTATAGACATACATTCCTCTAAGAAGCTTAATGAATAAGTGTAGAAAACACTAAAAACACAACAAGGAACAAGAAAGTGACTGTCAGCATTCATATGGAAGATGTTTCTCTTCAAAGTGGAAGTATGTTCTGACTAAATGACCTTTTAAACCTCAATGATATGAATGATACTAACGTAACTTAGGAAAACTGCACCAAGAAGGATTTAAAAGCCCAAAGAAATTCATTACAATGGAAGAAATGGACATAAATATCCAAAATCAGTTTTGGAAACTTGCTAGATTAAACTGAAATTAGGGTAATTTCAAACTTTCAAATTATTAGTAATTCCCACGAAATTTAGTCTGTACCAGAGCACCAGAAAAAACAACTTGAGCTAGCAAAATTGTGATACCAAAGCCTGACAAAGGTAGCAGAAAAAAGAAAACCACACAGCAATTTCAATAATAAATAGTCAAGTAAATTTAAATAAATAGGTATTTGGTTATGATCAGGAATACAAATTAAATACAGCTCAAGAGGGAAACAATGCCTTCTGTGGCCAGAGGAATCAGTCTCTGTCTGCTTGATCCCGCTGTCTCCCTGGTGTTAAACCCATCTTTTGCCTTTGGGATAAACACATCTGTCCCTGCCTGTCTCCAGCCTTCTAGATCTCTCTGAGATCAAGGCCTTCTGCACCCACCGTCACATGTCCAGAATATTCCTCTCCTACATCTGCATGGTCAACAGATGCTCCTCCTCTGGACTCAGCTTAATTGCCTCTTCCTTCGAAAAGTCTTTTGACCCCAAGGCCATGATGGGTGCCCCTGCAGTGCTTTCTGAGCACCCTGACATCCCCCACCTGAGTCATATATGGTACTTTTTATGGCCTCTTGTTCACATTTGTGGCCCCAGCCAACTAGCTCAGGGTCATCTGAGTGGCCTGGATGGTCAGACCCTCTGTGGGGTGGAAGCTGAGCCCATGAGGCCCAACAGAGTGGGACAGGCGGTCACCTTCTATCACATGCACAGAGACAGATGCCTGGATTGCAGAGGGTATGCCACGAAGGGAGGGGGACATGCAAGCCCCAGAGGTGCAGGCATCCCTCGCTTCTTGTAGGACATGGGTAAATCCCAGCCCTTGACTTCCATGTGCTCTGTCCTTCTAATAAACTTGTTATTTTAATTTAAAAGCTTAAAATGTTATTTTTTCCTCCTTGGGTAACCTGACAATACCTCATTAAAACACAAGGAAGCTATCCAGGAAACTACTGAAATTCTCTAGCCATAAAGTGACCTTTATGTGACTTGGACCTGGGGAAAGGATTAAGATATTAAAACTAAAAAAGATGGTACTATGGTTATAGATGGCATCGAGTGGAAGGAAGAATCCTCTATAGTCTGGCATCTTGGCTCTGCATGATACACGTGGATGCATGCACAGACAGAAGGACAGGGAAAGCTAGACCATGCAGCTGGCAGAGGGCATAAAGATGGATAAACGGAAATATGGGGCTGGGATGAAAGAGGTTAGCACTGAAGACCCAAAGTCACTCACAGAGGACTGAAATCTCGAGGTCAAATGATGAGAGTGAAGCACAAACGGGAAGCCAGGCCTGGGCCACCCATGGGATGGGATGGAAGATGACCAGGGGCCGGCCAGGGACCAGAGAACGAGAGGGCAGTGCCCCAAACCAGAAAGGCTGGAGACCCGCGGGATCCAGATGGCTAAGGAGTGAGACAGAGAGCATCTCACCAATTTATTCCACCTACTGTATGTTGGGGACAGAGTGAGAAATCAGACAAGCCATCTTTGCAGGTGTTCCACACTGGCAGGTAGACAGGCGTGGTAAATGCTAAGGGCAACGTGAGACTGAACACGAGGCGCAGTCTAGAGTTAACCCCTAGAGGAACAGCCACACCCTGCAGGGACCCGCGTTACCTTCGGCTCTGGTGTAGCTGACCACTGTCCCGTTGACAAGGCCGGCATACAGGCTCTGAGACGTGCAGGCCAAGCTCATGACCGTGGACTTCTCGGGAGTGAAAAAATGCTGAAGTCTCACTTTCTTGGAGCCTTGACTGCTTTTATAAATGGAAACGCTTTAAAAGAAAAATATAAGCTAATAAATATATTTGCTCACTGTGAGAGGAGCTAGGCATCTGTTAACACAAACGTGTTCGACATTTTCACTTTAATTTTTCCCTGTCTTGCCCTTCCTTCTCCACTCCTAGACACATACGGCTGTACTTTTTAAAAAGCACCCACTTTGATTTCTGTCTTTTATTTTAAAAGAGAAATTCTGGGTTACAAAAAAATTAGTACTTCCTATATATCTTGGAACTTCAAATAAGGAAAATCATTTCAACCTTCCTTTAAATGGTGTCAGTGTCCAAAATGATTATAACAGAGAACACAGGTGGTTTTGTTTTATTCCAAAATGTAGGTAGTGATGTACTTTTAAGAAACATTAATAAAAGTGAAACATTTCAGTGGCAAATAGCATGGTAGGGCTGAAACTTTTCCTCTTTGAAGAATTACCATTTCCTTTTGGGAGTTTTCCCAAATAATTTCCATGGGCCTGATTCACTGGTTATTTCAAATTACAATGACCCTAAAAACCTCCCCTGTGTCCCATAATTCCTATACAGACTGCTCCAGGCACAGAAGCCAAGGACTCTCCCCTCTTCCCATGACAGGTCCCACTGCTCTATTCCTATGACACAGCTTTTGTAACACAGCAAGTGGGCCTCTACCTTCCCTCCTCTGTTCCTAAACAGATCGTGGGGACATCGGAAGCTCTCACGGCCGTGGTTTCGGGGTCCGAGGCTGTGCTGGGTTCTTGGTGCTTCTCCTCGACAGGAATGTACGCCATACACAGGATGCGAGATTCCACATTGAAGCACTCGATGACTTTGGGGTTGGAATTTTGAAATGAGACAATGGCAATTTGACCCATTTGATTGGTACAACTTCCAATCTGAATCATGGAGTTAACAGAGAAAAAGAAAATGAACGTATGGACGAGCCCACACTACACTGAAACCTGACAAAGGCAACAAGTATCAGTTTTCATATGAGAATCAACACACTGAGAAAAATCAAATGGTGTTCAAACAATCTGCTCACAGAGCCCCTTTTTCTTTTCAACATATTTAATTAGGTTATCTTTTCTTTTAATTTGAGTATAACTCTAATTTTTAAAAGGTCACATTTATATGATTTAAAAACCACATACCCACTCACTATTATACAGTGCTAAAGGCCAATTCATTCAGAATTTAAAGTCCTAAAAGGCAGATTAAGATCAATTTTAAATAACCCTAATGTTTAACAGACCTTAGCTAAGAAAACAAGTTTTTCAAATGAGAAAAAATTAATAAGAATGCATCCCACAGTGGGTCATTCACACTTAACATACAATGTTCTGTGTTGCACTATTTCCCAAACTACTATCGCAGCAAGTGTTTATGAACTTCCTGTGTGAATCTTTACATTAAGAACATAGCATAGTTAGTTTCCCAATTTAAACTTAAATTTAATTGTTTTTTAAGTGAGAAAGAGTCTGACCCTTGCTAACAGAAAGCAGGGGCTGGTTTCGGATGGCATTGTTCATTGATTCTTTTTCTTTTGCACTACTTTTGAGAATGTTACTACATTCTTATTCTTCCTGTGTTTGTTCCATGCTCTAAATAAATATCCTTCAGGTGAAGGGTGCCAAATTGTCAAGCCCCTGTCCCGGCCTCCTGGGGAGGGGGTGTAGCCAGGAGAGGGGATAAAGCACCTGCAATTACAGGTCTGCCTGGATGGAATCATTTATCTTTTAGAATTTGAACCCCTTAGGGAATTAAGCCTAGCCCTTCATTCGCAGGTTGGTACAAATGAAATACCAGCTAATCAGGTTGTTCCATTTTAACGCTCTACAGGGAACACTGACCAAGCAGGAGTGCTGGCTACAAGGAGGTCAGAGAAGTTAACCTGGAGCATTGGATTCCGGAGGGAAGAAAGCAAGATTCAGAGACTGGAAAATAGCAATAGGTCTGTGGGGGAAGAGGTCTGATGGGCTGCCAGGAAGCAGGGCACAGGAGAGGCGGGAAACCCCAGACCGTGCAGCGGGAAGAATTTCCTCTGGTTTACACAAACCAGAAACATCTACTGCAACTGCAGCATAACTTCAAATGCTGTATTTCATTTGGAACAAATTAATTTTAACTGCCATGTTTCCAGCGTGAAAAGCCAGCAATGTCTTGGAAGTGGAAAAAAATCCATGCAATTTAACCACCAAAATTAAGATATCTTAAAATAAATTTTCGTATTAGTTAAGTTAGTTGTCTTTGGACTAAATTTAATCTGGTAAAGTTTTAGGCAGAAAAGAAATAAACATTCCTAGTAATTCTACATCTTTTCCAGAAGTAATCAGCTTCCTTTCAGAGGAAGTTTTCACGTGTGTAAATACAATCCGGGATATACTAGTGCTAACAACATTCTACTGAGCAATTCACATCTGCATTTCTTGTCACACTATGGATGTTGATTCTGTATGAACTCGCACAAAAAGCAAACAGATATCTTACCCACAGGAAACCATGCACAGTGGAAAATGAGTCTGGTTGACTTTCATTACTTAGGTAAGGTTCAGGATTATAAGCAGCACATTCAATCTAAAAAGGAATAAAATCAAACACCCACATATAAAATGGGACTAAGAGGCTTCTACATTATATAATGTGTATAAATGATATAAATGGATGATATACTTCTCACATATAACCACAGAAATTTCAGGTTGTCTATCAACGATTAAAATAGGAAGGGCAAAAGATCAAAGTATAAATCTTAGAAGACAGCTTTTCAGAAGAGAAAACCTAAGGAGATTCAGTCTTTGGTATTTTATTCTTCAGACCCCATCAACCATGCTGAAAAAACCAGCACGGTGGGGCATGTTGGGGGAGCTGGCATCTGATGGAAGTGAGCACTGTCTACAGATGGGGTGTTCTATTTTTCCTTTCCCTGTTCCACTGTGGCATGTTGTGCCACAAGGCTCTGAGACTTCCAAAGGGAGTGGTCGTGGGAACTACTGAGAAACCCACGCTTCAAGCGTCAGTGTCGGCCAGAGACCAGGAATGAGAAATAATTACAATGCCTTCATTTACTTCTTAAAGGGAGACACATCAACGAGTCATTGAAGTCATGGAAGGTATGGCCGGTTGCGCTTGACTATGCCGTGAACAGTGACAAGATGCCACTCTGCAGATGGAGTCTGCTCTAGCAGAGTGGGCACGGCACGTCAAGCAAACAGGAGACCTTGAGTTAGGATCCGTTGTAGAAACTGACTGCTTGTCAAGCAAAGGCATAACAGGGTTGACAAACGTGAAACATGTGTCTTCCTTCTTTAATAATGCCTCAAATGCACTATAGTTGTTTCAATACTCGAAGGTCCTGCAGTGATTAAGCCCCAGGAACAGGCTTCAAAGACAATGCTTAAGCATTGATTTTTGGCTTCAAATGACAGCAATCTTCTATTGTTCCTAAATAAAGTACCTCTAGCCAAGTAATAACTGTGGTTAGCCTGGACTGTGCCCCTTAATAGTAATTGCCCAAGTAAACCAATTAGAGAAGGAAGGTCCCACCCACAGTGGAGAGGGGGCACCCCCAGCCCACCCCCCTTCACCTTGAACTCCTGCTGCTTGGCCACCAACACAGGCATGTGTCCAACAAGAAGGGGATGTTTCTCCTTTTTAATTTGATTCCCATCATCTTCCACACAGAACCAGCCCATATGGTTCTCCTCTTCTGTGATTATATTCAAAGAGAAAATGAGCAAAGACTGCATTTAATTCACACTTAGAAATCTGCAGCTTCAACAGGGTCCTATCAGAAGTTTCTGATATTCTATTTGTACGAGGCTGGAGAATTAATGTTTTATTAATGCTTAATTAATGTTTTATTTCTGGAAAACAGTAAAATCTTTTCTTAAAGGGTATGCTGTACATTCATTGCTTTATTTTAGAAGGTACCACGGTCTGCATCTAAGTGGGACCTTCCTGTCTGCTCCTCCTGAACGCACCAAACCCGAAGGGCTGCGAAGCTCTGAAGCTCTGCTGCATAAACTACGTAGGTCTATTTTCATCCTTTTTTTATTTTTATTTATTTTTTGCCCAAAGCAACTGAGATGTTTAGATTCAAATACCAGAGATGTAGTGAGTAATTTTTAAACATGGTATAGTACTATGGGATAAAAAAAGTTCAACAAAATGAAGAAATATTTTACTACCAAAGCAAATTGTCAATCTTAGCTTTAAAGAACATGTTATTGATCTAAAGATAAAAGGGTGCTTATTTTCACATCCAGCTTATTCTCTTCGGAGAGTGGGCCATTTCTTTGTCTGCTGAGTCACTCTGAGCCTAACTTGACAAACCACGAAATTATTGAGGAAGAGAAAAAGGGGCGAGGTTACTGATTCCTCTGAGCACAAATTCAGGAAAGCTTTCCCTTTCATGATAAAAGTTCTTTTCCTTCTGTTAATCACAGCTTAATAGAGTGATAAGCATTAGCCCAGCCTCCTATTTCTCTTCTGAATTTTATTCTCATTAACATTTTAGATTACCTGCATCTGAAAGAGAATTTTTCACACACACACACATCCCAGTGCATTCTGAGTAACAGATCTGTGAGTATAAATTACATATACATTTTTTTATATACACACACACTCGTATATGTATATGTGTGTGTATATATACACATATTGACAAACGCAAGGCTGAAGAAACATAGGAACAGGAAAATAATCATAAAGTCAAATCCATCTCAGTAGAACTACAGGATTTGTTTTGGGGGCAGGAGGGTCTTGTGACAGTTCAGCCTCACCCCTGTATTTAGTCTCTCAGTGAGCAGATGAGGAAACAGGTCAAGATGAACAACGACCCCCACCAGACCCACGGCCTCAAGCTCCGGACTCACAGCTACAGACTCAAAGGGCTTATTCTTGTGTTCCACAGTCTCAACTGATATTGACATTCTGTTACAATAAAAGCCGTGGCTTTGTTCCTGCAACCCCTAAATTATAATATAAACTTCTTAAAAATCACTTGTGCTGAGGTTAATTTTTCCCACTTAAAAACAATTTTTCAGATTGATGGATGGATCCATCACCGAGTTTCCTTCCCAACCTTGATTCTATCCTCATAGGCATGTATTTCATCACGATATAGAAAACTCTCACGAGGACTCTGAAATGTACATTGTCTCTTATTTGTGCATGCCTCATTTAGCTTAAATCAACCAAATCTTACCAAGGGCAAGCTTGGCCATCTGCAAGTTGTTGATCCAGGACTCTTTGATGGCAGGGGTAAATGTATTGAACACAGCTGTAAAGAAAGTAGGTCGCCCAGACCTGCCAGAAATAATAGACAAGCGTTCATTCTATAAAATGTGCTCCGTCATGTGATATTAAATTACATGTTTTGCCTGTCTGATATAATCACCAAACCAAGAAAACATGCATTTCATGACAAAGAACCATTTTTTTCAGCATTGGCCAAGAAGGTTTCATTTTAAAGTTACTAACTTGTCCTGCTTCCCCGGGAGCTGTAACTGAATTCTGCAGCAGTCAGCGGCTCTGATTTCATCTTCTTTCTTCAAAATTAGTCTTTGTAAACCTGATGTCCAATCATGGGCTACTGATTGGTTTAAGTTCTATGAAAGAAACACATATGCACATTTTAAAAGTGTTTTAAAACAATAGGACCATCCTAAAGAAAAAAAAAAAAGCACAGTTATAACATGAAAAATTCAGGGAGACCAAATAATACTCATATCTAATTATAAAATAGAAACCCGTGAGACTCAGATCACATTGTGATGTGACTGAGACATTTCTAAGATAGAACTGATACTCAAGTCTATTTGCAAAATGAAGAAAGGTTACACTTAAATAGTTTCACCTTATTCAAAATAAGAGAAAATGCACAATCAGATCAATTCTTAAAGTCAAAATGAACTCTCACTTCTGGTAGAACTTGGAGATATAATCACACTCTTACAATGATTTAGAAGAAAAAACAGAATTTTAAATCAAATTGTTTCCATTGTTACCTGATAGTTTCCTTTAAGGTTTCCTATCAGTTGAGTGATTTGACCAATTACATTTAAGTCATGCAGCAGGTTTTGTAAATCTTGATACAGCTGTCCTGGCCCCATGTAAACTTTGTCTATGAAATAAGCAACAACAAAAAAGTACAAATCTAAAGCCATGTTTATTCCAATGCTTGAGGGAAGAAAACTAAAATAAACTCTAGTTAATTTTTTAAGTTGGGGGAGGGGATCTAAAATTTTTTAAAAGTAGATATTTTCATGCATTTAATAGGTTTTCCTTTTCTACCTTTCATTTTGAAATAATTTTAGACTTACAGAAATGTCGCAAAAATAGCACAAAGAGCTCCCTCCTAAACACCCTTCGCCTAGCTTCCCTGGAGGTCAACATCTTATGTAAATGTAGTACGACCATCAAAACCAGGAAATTAGGTTAATACAACACTATCAACTCATCTGCAGACCCTACTCAAATTTCACTGGCTTCCCCATGAATGTCATGTTTCTAGTCCTGGATCCAATCCAGGGTTCCACATTGCATTTAGTCATCATGTCCCTTGAATCTCCTCCAGTCTACGACGGTTCCTCAACCTTGGTCTTTCATGACCTTGACATTTTTGAAGCATGCTAATGAGTTATTTTATAGAATGCCTTACAATTTGGGTTGACTGATGTTTTGTCACTTCTAGTATTTTTAAAATAGCATTTTGTTGATGTAATAGCTATCAGTAAGAGGTACCTAGAAATGACATTTAATCTCAACTAAATTTACAATAACTGGGGTTATCCAATATCAAATTGTGTTCTCCACTGATCTTTCCTAAAGTTTTTTTTTGTTTTTGTTTTTAAAAGGAATAGAAACGGTTTGTCTGCGATGACTCGGGTTTGGAGTAACGTGTATCCTGGGGTCCAGGTGCCTAAATGAGAATGGCTCCCACCGCTTACTGAGGCACTCCTGTGTGCAAGGGCAGGTAGCGTTCACATAACTCCTCAATGATCCCACTTCAGGACTACGAGCACAGATTCCCCATCTCTCCATCTGACTGCTGAGGAAACTGCCTAAGGTCCCACACTTACAAGTGGGAAGAATTTGAACTCAGAATTACAGCCAAAGCCCATACTTTAAACCAATATGCGGTCATCTCCTGTCTTCTTTTCTACTTTTCATACAAATAAATTGCGTACAGTCACACGGCCAGGAAGGGAAGGAGCTGGAATTCAAACCCAGGTAGAAGAGATTCATTTAGGTTCAACAAAGTAACAGTTTCTTGATATATTTGTGTTTCAGCAGGGCTGGTGTCATGGGCACAGACCTGCGCAATTATACAGGGCCCCGAGCTCAAGAGGGCCCAGAACTTGGTGTGAGGCTCTGCTGCTGACCTCTTGAAATTCTTAATAATTGAGAACAAGAGGCCCCACATTTTCATTTTGCACTGGGTTCCACAAATTACATAGCTTGTTCCATCATTCAGTGTATATATAATATACAGTGTACACATGTTAAAACTGAAAGATAATATAAACATTTCAGATATATATGTATCTAAAAATACTCACTGCTTAACTGAAAAGCAGCATAACCATTTATAATTTTGCAGGCACTGTATGTTAAAGACATGATTATGTGGATATTTACGCACTTGGTAGCCCTGATTCTTACCACCTAGATAGACAAATTCTATGAGTAACTACATCTGAAGTACTGTGAAGTTTCCCAAGAAAGGGGGGCAAAACTGTGCCGGTGGTTATGCATATCAGCTTTATTTTTCCTTACTATATGCTTATAATTTAAAATATTTTATCTGATAACACATATACTTGCTTTCATTTAGAAAACTTTTGATGATAAACTCAATAAACAACTTTGCAATAAAATTATAAGACCTACATTAACTTTGTCAACATCTTTTTTTTTTTCTTAATTTAAAAACATTTTTTGGTGGCTGGCTTGTAAAGGGATTCAAACCCTTGACCTTGATGTTATAATATTGTGCTCTAACCAACTGAGCTAACTGGCCAGTCTGTCAACACCTATTTTTAAATATGATCTTTACAATTATTCTGTAAAATTGACCTTTTATTTTTGGTTTGCAGCTCTACATATTTTAGCACATATGGAGGTGCATCTAACCACCTCCCCAATTAGCCTACAAAACAGCCTTATCGCCTGCAGAACAGCCTCATCGACCTACAGAAGAGCTCCATCATTCTAAAGAATAGCTCCGTTGCCCACAGAACAATTCCATCACCCTATGGAATAGCTCCATTTCCCACAGAACAGCTCACTGCCCTACAGAACATCTCTTATCACCCTACACAACAGCTCTACCATCCTACAGAACAGCTCCATCAGCTACAGAACAGCTCCATTGCCCACAAAAACTCCCTTGCTGTCCCTTTAGGGTCACATAGCCCCCACCCTTGCCCTGGAAACCACTCACTTGTTCTCCATCACGACATCTATTTTTAATACATAAACAGTATACTTATATTTGCTTAAGTATTCAATTGATGTGCTCTTTGTTAGAAGAAACTCCTTGGCTTTGGAGCACAAGTGTCTAACTTGGAACACAGTGATTTTATCCCTTCAGTCATTAATGCCATAATGAAACATTATACAAGTAGACATCTGCATAAAGAACTCAGGTCTGCACCACCTACCCTGTTGAAAGACACTCTTCCAAGTTTCTCACGATCCATCGTTCCGTTAAAATTTGATGTGAACAAGTTAGAAGCACTGCCAACTTTCTGGCAACTGTTTCTATACTGGGTATGCTGAGAACCTGACATCTGTGCTTGAAACTGGAAAACAAGTATTTCTTCCTCCTACTAAACTTCTCTGTGAGTAAGCCACATGTTAAAATAGAAAATACTTTTATATTTAAACACGTTTCTTAGGAGATACAAACTCTGTGTTGGGTAGTTAAGGCTAGAAAATTATTCAGCGGCAATGTTGTATTTTGCTAACCAGATTTCTCCATTATGTGACTCAGGAATCCAAGAGAACTTACCAGAAAACACTTAAACCTTTTCTATCTCAATTTCTTAATCTGTAAAACAGGGGCAACGACACTTTTACTGTCTACCTCACAGTACTACTTTGAGGATCAAATAAAATAATGTACGTAAAGCATTTAGGAACTAACATACATATTAAGTATATTATAGAAATATGTGTAATTTCTTATAACATGCACATATAACACAAATGTAAAGAACTGTTCACGTTACTGTTTGTCAGCCTTCCAAAACACTCATGTACTCTGCAGGCTCTTCCTCTCTTTGGACTCCCACTGGCCTGGCCAGAATTTCATATTTTTATCTCCTGTTTTCCAAAAAAGCATACCCTGCAGTGTTCCATTCCTCCTGAGCTAAATAATTTTTTGTCAGTTAAGAAATAAACAGTATACCATTTGCCTAACACAAACGGTGAGATGTGTAATATTTTAAATCAGGGGCATTTTTGAAGTTTCCTAAATCTTCTGATGCATGTGACTGCAAAACTCCAGCTGCCTCGATCCACGATCCGAGATGCAAGCCCCATATGAACAATTCAACCCAAGGCCATTTTCCTCCCTGCAGGCACCACTAACCTATCAGCCTGGCCCCATCAACTAGCTGGCTTTCACTTAGAAACACTGTCAGTTCAGATCATCTAGGTAACAAGTTAACAGAGTTACCATTATTCTTTGAGAAGGAGAAAAGAAATCTAGGCAATTAGAGGGTGGAGGGGGAGGGAATGGGGGAAGGGGGGTGGACAAGGGGCATAAAGAATAATTATGATTTGTAACAATATATAGGCTAGTAATACTGATTTAATCAACATATCTCAATGTTCAACCCCAAAAATATGTATAATTGATTTTGATTCAATAAATAAAATAAATTAAAAAAAAAAGAAACACTGTCAGTTAATGCATTCACACTGTTTTAATCTCATTCAAATGATCTAAATTTTAGGGAAAATTAAGCAAATGGTTAGCATATAAAAAGTTTTAAATCTATTGGATTATTTCCATGAGCTAATTGACTAAATGATGAGTTTACCCGTTTGAGGATTAACACTCACTTTGACAGTGAAATTATGTGGAAGCCCTTTGTGACCATCAAGGAGGAAAGACTGAAAGATTAGGAATTTAGAACTCTGCATTTATTTCTGTAACAAAGAGGCCTAAGACGGGTAGGTATTTAAAAGTCTCCCACAGTGGGCACTAGTCTATCTAGCAGGAAATAAAGTGGAAAGTTCAGACGGAGGCAGTGGAAGTCACCTGCCTGACACCGTGAAAGCCAGTTCTACCCTCTTCTGCTTTTGCTTCATTAGAGGGAAGACGACAGGGATGGGTGTAGATGTGATTCCGCCTTAAAGCTGCATCTGTACCCCAAGTCCTACCTTACAGTTCATCAGGAACTAAACATATACAAATACATATTTCAGTCAGGCCAGAGGAATAAGTTCAATAGGTCTACTGTACAGCATGGTGACTACAGTTAATAACAGTGTGTTGTACTTGAAAATTGCTGAGAGATTTTAAGTGTTCTCACCACGAATAAAATGGTATGTAAGACAATACATATGTGAATTAGCTTGATTCAGCCATTCTACAATGTATACATACTTCAAAATATCACGCTGTATACCACGAATACATAAAATTTTTATTAGTCAATTAAAAAAATTTTTTCTAAAGAAAAAATTATACATGTGCTGCCACTCATGTGAACCTATCATGGAAAGGGAGAAGAAAACTGTTTATCCTAGTGGACTAAAGAATCTTCCATATGGGGACTAAGAGGAGTTTCCCTACCTCTACATAACATATGAAAATATACCCAAGTTTTCATTTGAGTTTGAGCACTGGATTTATAAAAGAGCATACTCGGGATACAGACTAACACAAAAGAGAAACACGACACATCCATTCAACAGGGACAATATATGCTACAAATGAGAGCATCTCTGCTCAATTATAATTTTTAAAAAACAACGAAAACAGAGCACAGAGCAGTTGAGTATTTTTCAAACGTTAGGGGAAAAAATTTTGTTTTTATTTTCTAGCCAAGATTTATTGGTAAAAAATCTGAAAATCAAAATTTTTGCTAGGGCCGATCTGCAGCCACT